GGTATTTTTAGCCTAAATAATCTGATGAAGTACACAATTACTGTAACTGTGAAAGGTTATGTAAGCTGGCCAACTTATTTTACAACTTCCCTTACAAAAATTAACCATAGCCTATGGTATTAAAATGAATGAATGAATGAATAAATTTATTATATAAAAAATAAATAAAAAATAAAAATGGTTACTATATAGTCAAGTCAAGTCAAGTCACCTTTATTTATATAGCGCTTTTAACAATACAGATTGTGTCAAAGCAACTGAACAGCATTAATTAGGAAAATAGTGTCAATAATGCAAAATGACAATAGTAAACACTCATTTTTCAGTTAAAGACAGTTCATCATTGAATTCAGTGATGTCAACATCCAGCTCAGTTCAGTTTAAATAATATCTTTGCAATCATGTCAACGATATCGCTGGAAATGAAGTGTCCCCAACTAAGCAAGCCAGAGGCGACCATATAATGGTTTCTGTTTTTGCAGCGCGTTTCTTTATTTGTTTGTGTTGTGAGCATTTGCAACACATGTGCTGTCAAACTGATGAAGATGTTTTCTTTATTTGCTGGTGCTTTTTTCTATTTGCATGTGTTTTCTGAAGTTGCAGCATGTTGAGCTCTCTCGGCAATCCGTAATTTTCCACCTGATGATGACATTGTCTCAGGTTTGCCCTATAGAGAAAAGTAAAATTCAAAATGAATGTTGTTGCTAATCATTGACATATACACAACTGTAATAATCCAAAAACAAACTAACAAAAAAATCTGCTTAGCATTTAGTATAAGGTAATTAATTCATTTTATGGTGTTTTTTCCTAAAAAAAAAACAACAACAACAGTGGCAATGTATTAAATGGCATTTAAAGGGTTAAAATCCTGAAAATGTTTGGTAGTTATGATCCGGATAAAAAAAATGTCAGTGAAAGTAGAAAAAAAATATAAATACATAATATTTTAATGACTATTTTTTGACACAGACATGTTTGTCTTCCAAGGAACTCTGTGTACCTTTTTTAAATTGATGCACAAGGGTTAATTTATCATTTATTTAATATTGTTACATTGTTCAATATGACAAACAATATAGTGAATTCTAAACTACATCAACAAAGGACTGATTACTTTGTCTTTCCTTAAAGGCTCACTTGAGGGCGCTGTCTGACAGTCTTGACAAGCGTTCGGTCGTTTGTTGACTGGATTCTCTAACAACTGAATCTAAATCTGTGTTTCTGTTCACCTTTCAGTCACTGGCTCGTGTTTTTTTGTGTTCAGTGGAGCACTCAAACCTTCATCAGGGTACTTGGCCAAGTCCAGCATTGTGGAAGGTTATGATTTGTTCATTTCTGTGTTTCATTAAAGCAGCACAGCTCTTATTTTCCTAAGGCATTTATTTATATTGTAGAAATACATTTATGAGATAGTCTTGACTTTTTAGAATATTTTAATTAATCATTTTGAACTCAAGACTTCAATTCAAAAAGCAAACAAAAGCTGTAATTTAAAGGGGTCATATGATGTTGCTAAAAAGAACATTATTTTGTGTATTTGGTGTAATGAAATATGTTTATGCGGTTTAAGGTTCAAAAACACATTATTTTCCACATACTGTACATTATTGTTTCTCCTCTATGCCCCGCCTTTCTGAAACGCGTAGATTTTTACAAAGCTCATCGTTCTGAAAAAGCGAGGTGTGCAGCTTTTTAGGAGGGCGTGGACGAGTCTTAACTTTTATTAAGAATATCTCTTTGGACTTGCAACTTTAGGGATCTTATCTATTCACGAACAGCTTGTAACTCTCCAAAGAGAAAGGAAAACTTGAAATCGCGTCATATGACCCCTTTAAGGGACTTAAAGGCAATTTCAAGCAAATTGATAAACGGGGTGTACAAAATATGGCCTATGTGTGATTATAGTATGTATTCTCTTAACGAATAAAACATGATATTTCTTAAGAAAACACTGTTAGAAAATACACATGAAAAAACACATGAAATGCACCCTAAATTATAACATGAGCCCTATCTAACTTGAACATGTGCAGGAGTTTAGGTGTACTGTATACAGTATATGTGCATGTGCTAATATTCCATGCATCTGCTCAATGTTACAGATGGTTTGATGGTGCAGGTAACCATGGAGACCATGGCTGACTTACGTCGATCTCTACGGGACATGAAGGACTTCACAGTCACCTGTGGAAAACTCCCCCCGGCAGAGAGGCAGGAATATGTGCACATTCAGTGGCAGGACGAAGAGCCGCGCTTCAATAAAGGGTTAGAAACAAATATATATACATATACAGTTAGTTTAAAGCTGTGCTGGTTTCCTTTTATTCTGCCCTGTATCTCACAGCATCATCAGCCCCATCGATGGCAAGTCTATGGAGTCTCTCACAAACATCAAGACCCATCAGCGCTTAGAATACAGAGCCAATGGGAAGCTCATACGCTGGACAGAGGTAAGCAGGTTTACTGTGACTTGTGGAGTGTTTGTGTTTTTAGTACGTTTGCTCATTTTTAGAGTTAGGGATAGATATAAACCCTGAATCTTAAAGGGATAGTTCGCCCCAAACTGAAAATTATGTCATAATTAATTAAAAAATAGATATAAAAATATATCTTTTCAGTTAATATTTAATATATTTTTGCTTATTTTAGAGTCAAATCAGAGTGGTATAGAGGTAAAAATATGGAAAATGGAGTACATAGAGGGCTTTTTTAATATATGTATTTAGATTTATGCTTATGGATTAAGTGCTTGTTGCACCTTAGTGGTTTTATCTAAATTTGATTGAATTTCAGTTACTGAAAATGCTTTTGAAAACCACTTTCAACAACCGGTTAATTCACGTTTGAATTTCTTCACAGGTGTTTTACTTGCTGAAAGATCAACATCCAAATGCTCTTAATAACCACACCAGCCATAACCGTCTGACAGAGCGACTTGCGCGGGCGTTCTGCCTGGCACTGTGTCAGTCTCTCTGTTTGCTGAAGGAGGATGGCATGACCAAACTGGCACTGAGGGTCACCCTGGACGGCCAGAAGGTGAGACAGTGATCATTTTGTCCACAGCTGTTGTGCCACAGATTATTTTTCCCCCATTGTAATGAGTTATTTGACACAGAAGTAATTAACCAATGATGACCATAATAATAATCATAATTTTTTAACTAAAATATATTGGTACAATTTTAAAAGTACTCATATACATTAATTTTACTCAAGTACTCATTTGTGCATAGATAGATAGATAGGTACAATTAATTTTACTCATATTATTCATCATATATATAGAGAGTGACGAGTAAACGAGTGAAATAAATGCATATGTATTTGATACATTTGTGTAAAAAATCATTTACATTAGGTTATTGCAATATAATATAACAATATTTAAAATGTCATGTTTATATAACATTTTAAATGTCATGTTTATATAAAAAAGTGTTTATGTAAAAAAATTCAATTTTAATTCATATTTTCCAGATAACATTTTACACATATATTTTTATTTTTCACATTTTCATAGGTTTTTATTGGGGCTGTCAAGCAATTAAAATGCTGTGCTGATCTAATTAATCGCAAATAATTATACATATTTTTAAACTTAATATATTGGTTTTATGAATATAAATTTTATGAATAGTTGTATACAGTCACTTATTTAACTCAATTACGTGTCTCTTTCTTTCTCTGTGTGTGTGTGTATAATATTTTTAAGCTAGATAGATATATTGGTACAAAATACTCATATACATTCATTTATTTTACTCAATTACACATCTCTCTCTGTATATATATATATATATATATATATATATATATATATGTGATTTAGTTAAAAGTATATTTACACATTTTCTACCGGTGTCCTTTTAAAAAAAACAAAAAAACAAAAATCCTTATCACATGTTCTGTACCTCATCTATTGACTTTTTCAAGGCTGCTAGATTTTTGTATTCCAGAACTGTATTCTTCATTTCAGATTGGATCTCAGATGTAACATGTAGACTTTCAGTTGTTGTAATCACTGTAGTTCAGTATTGTGTCAGGAGTGTAGCATGTGAGTGTGATCTGCGTGACTTTCTTCCCAGTGATGCCAATCTTCTGCTTTACTATTAGTGCTGTATTTTGATGAAATGTCTGGGGTTTTGAGCAAAGGTCAAGACACCGAAGGACAAAAGTTTTCTTATCATCATTTCTTTAATCTTTCAGATGGAGTTCTTGGCAGGCAGTAACGGGCAGCGCCTTCCAGCTCCGTACCAGGAATGTCTTAACCAATCATTAACGTCCGTGGTGCAGAGTAACTCTCATTACCAGGGTCTCGCCGCCTGCCAGCTGGAGCTCATCTTCTATATTCTGGAGGACACATCGTAGAGACGGACCACCCACTGTCACATGTGCCAACACTCCCAGAAACCTCACGAGCAAAAAACCTTTGAGTTCAGTATCATTTGAGAGTGGAATGTAGTAGCCGTCCCCATGCGGCAGCTTATTTTAGTATTTTAGTCAATACCCTACTGCTCACTGTGAAAGGGTCTGGGCTTACAACATCAGATGACTTACCTAAACTATTAATATCTCTCAGTCATCACTAGAGGCCGACCGATGTATCATTTTAGCTGATCAATCGACACCAGTAACAGCTCTTGGAACTATTGAATAATAGCAAAAATGAACACTTGTGGAAGCCCATTTCTGCCTCAGAGTTATAAAAACATAATTCACGCTATTACTCATAATTGCAACCTCATACCTCGCTATTGCAATGATTTCTAGTAATTGATTTCTCGTAAAACTTTATATCTCACAATTTGGACACAAAATGCGACCGTTTCTCTCAGTTGCACTTCTTGTCTCACTATAACTTTCTTGTAATTGCAGCATCATATTTCAATATTGTGACTATTTCTCACAATTGTGACTTCTTATAATTCGTCACTTTTTATTACTTGTTATTGCAACGTTAACCTCATCTTGCTATTGCAACTATTTCTCTTAATTGTGAGTTTATATCTCGCAGTTGCAGCTTTCTTGGAATTGCGGCTATTTCTCATAATTGTAACTTTATATCTCACAATTGACCCTTCGCAAAGACCCGCCCCCCCTTACTTACTGTTGCTAGGTCCGACAAGCCATGGCAATCTCATGTTCTCACGCAGTGAAAAATACATCACAGAGCAAAGAAGACCGTGATAATGCGCCGACAGATAAGACAGAGCAGGTTACTTTTGGTATGAAACAAAGTCTCAGCTTTCAAATGTTGTCATTTTGTATGAAATTCAAACAATAAATGCAGTTTTGTGGCTCTTTAATGTGTTGTGACAGATTGGTGTATTGCCTCAGTTCAAGCAGCATGTGAAACGATCGTCTCTTCCTCTTTACTAGATATAGTGCAAAATAAACATGAATGAACATCAGAAGGCATCTTGTTTCAACCACGGAAAGACGTCAATTCACCGTTTTTTAAGTTAAAGTCCGATACACCACCATGGTGTATTGATGTCTTTCTACAGTTAAAACAAGATACCTTCTGATGTTCATTTCACGCTATAACTAGTAAAGAGGATGAGACGATCGGTTCACGTGCCACTTGAACTGAGGGTCTACAGCGATCTGTCACGACACATTAAAGAGCCACAAAACAGTATTTATTGTTTGAATTTCTTTAAAAAATGACAAATTTAGAAAGCTGAGACTTTGTTTCATAGTAAAAGTAACCTGCTCTGTTTTGTCTGTTGTCAGTTTCCTCTTTGCTCTGCCATGTATTTTTCACTGCGTGAGAACATGAG